CAATATGTAATGAAGATTCTGTGAAAGTTTCATTCAATTTCACTCAGTAGTATAAGAGGAGTTGCGGATAAGAGAAAAAGCGTAACAGACGGACGGACGGACGGACGTACAGACGGACGGACGGACGGAAATCCCGATCACTATATACCCTCCCGCTTTTCAAGCGGAGGGTATAATAAGCACGAATATTGAATACATAAATAGGGAAAAGATGTGTCGACCCCAGATTTTAAAGATAAAAAATGGAAGGCGTGGGAGCCCCCCCCCCCCCTGCCGTAATACCATTTAATAGACAAGCAGACGGAATAAGAATGAAAGCGAAATACACAGACTTTTGGTTGTATTACCCTGCCATACCCCCCCCCCCTCCCCCCGCTACATGTACACATGTATTTATGATATCGATTTTTCTCTACATAAGTTCGGTTAACAGTTGAATTTCGCTAGCATTAATTTTCTTTCCCTGATTTCTGATTACATTTAAACTGAATTCCGTCAGTAATTCTAGTGCAGTTTTTGATGAAATGGTGTTTTTAGCCGGGCTCATTGCTCGTAGAGCAATGCCCGGCTATTGCGACGGTGAGCAACAGGAAATGCTGCTTCTTCACCGCTAAATTGAGTTTACGAGTAAAAATATAGTACGTACGCCCAGCCGCTGTTGAGAAAACAAAATCCATTCAAACACCTTAAGAAATAGTAAATCGAATATTTTTATCAAAATATTAAATTGTTTAATATTTTTCCTGGCACCTTTGACTAATATTTTACAAAGCAATTCAAAAGGTGCAAAAGGTTTTCACCAGGTATCCCTGTCTGCGTCATATTCTATAAATAAAGGTTGTACTATCAGGCTAACACATCATTAATGACTTGATGCAAAACTCTCCGCTGAGGACACATCAGTGCATAGTCGTTTGACCTTAATTAATCTTGCTGCATCGGTGTTCTGTTTGTATATAAAACCCCGAAACGATACATGTGATAAATATTTTACGCTGTTAATTTCTAGCTTTATTTTATTTAATTTTTAATACCTTTTAATACTATACATGCCATTGGGATATTTTTGTGTGTAACATATCCTCAAAACGTCTGAACTTGATTTTAAACTGTCACCACGGTGTTTGTTCATTACCCTGTAAATGAGCCCGGCTTTCAGTACTTCTAAGTACTTTGATTTTTAATGTTAGGCCTATATCCTTCAAGACACTCACATACTTCGTTAAATGACATAATTTTTTTTTTTTTAATTTTCACGTCATAATTAAAATGATTTCTATTTGGTTGATTTAAAAAAAAAATTATTATTTAGAGCTTATTTATTATAGGTATTTTGTAAACAAAGGAAACGCCCACGGATACGCCCCCGGAAGTATTAATTCATTGCATTGTGGGATATTCCCCTAATGTTAATAAATCTTTAATGAATTCTTAAATATTTAATGCTTCATTAAGTAATAAGGCTCTAATAAAGGTTTTGTACAACACACTTTAATGACTTTATTAACTAATGTATCATTAAGAATTTAGTGAATCATTAGGCTTAATAATTCATTAAATTTAATGAACTGTTGATACAACCGGGTCCCGGACTTTAAATTATCGTGGGGAATGGTTGTGTATAAAGTTGGAAATTCATAAGTTTACCAACTGTTGATTTTGGTAAAATCTGGTGATTTCAATTTTTCCAAAAGTTCCTTGGAATTTCTAAGTATCCACATCTGAGACTGATTCACACCACTTCTGGAATATATTGTCGCACAATACTTTGGAAGTTTCTATTCTATTTCTATATATGTAAGGGATAGAAAACTTTTTTATAAAAACATACAGTATATTATTTAACAAAAGCAAAGCACACTCTCTGTATCGTAATACTACTTTGGTATCGCCACATTGTATCTTTTGCAGGCAACGATCGCAGAATCTCCTCACTCACTGCCACTATGCAATTTTTTTTTTTTGCTTTTGGTTTAAGTTTCTCTCGAGAGATTTTCACTCATATGGAGACAACCCCACTTTCCCATGAAGTTGCAAATTTTGACTTAAATTCGGCTCTCAGGACCATTGCGCATAGGGGGATCTTTTTCATGCCAGCACCTCGAGACCTCGGTTTATATACGGCCTCATCCGACGAACCGGTCTCCATGTCCCAGAGTGGGATTCGAACCTGCGACATAAGGATCAACCCCTTACTTCGTGACGACTCTAGAGCAGAACTACGCTCTTCCCACTGCGTCATGTGGGCGACAACAGTATTGGAATTAATATTTCAAATATCGATATTACTTACATAAATTACATTGTGTTATACTTACTAAATGAAATCATTATAGAAATAACGACGTGTAATCAAGCTCGAAAGTCTATTGAAGCAATACAGTATTGGAGTAAAAGAAACACGGACCTCTAAAACAATAGAGGTAGGATCAGGTACCATGCGTGTTCTTCTTGTGGTGATCGAGCTCTACTGATTGAGCGACCGTGTTTGTAATCATATAGAGATCACTAAAACTACACATTTTCCTTGCCAAATGCAAAAAATATTAATGATTGGACTGAAAAGGATTATGATTACTACAGTATATGTATGAAGGACACCAAGAATTTGCTCCAAATTCATAATTTAATTGAAAAGCAAAATGTGCATTGGCATTTACTGTTGCTTATTTACGCCCAAGAAATCAATTACTAGTATATAAAATAACTAAACATGCAGATATTAAAAGATAGAACATCCTTTAATAAAACTTCCCATTGGTTATTATACAAAGTGAGAATATAAAAAAAAGTCTGTGCTTTTTTGCATGTTGTCCAGTGAGTCCTGTTTCTGACAGAAGTTACTTCCCCGTGAACAATGGATTACAAATAACAATTTCTTCATCCTCTTCCATACCAAACATTCCACAAAGGCCTGGACATTCAAGCACAATATTAGCATTTTTAGAAACATGAGATGTTCTGGGGACGGCAGTTACAGAGTGGCGACTCCGCGGCGATGCCTTCTCCTCTTCTATCATTTTCTGTGCCCATCGCTGGAAGTGGTGCTGCTGAGCACTAAGACCAGGAACCCTATATCCACTTATGAATCCTGCGAACTTCCCTCCGATATATCTAGCCATGCTGCAAAATGCCACAATACCACCAATTACGATCATATCATTTGTAAACAATATGTCCGACCGAGTTTGATCCGCAAACAGAGGGACAATGTTGGAAAGTCTAAGAGCAAGAGATGCATTACTACTCAACGGGACTTCATTTGAAGTTCCATTTCCAGTATATCCTACCATGATTTCAGATTAATCGTATTTCACATTTTCAAATTCACAAAAATGAGCATTAAACATTGTGACGTTCACAATCGATAAACTAGGTTTATCGGTTGTAAACAATAGTTTACGGACTGTAAACTATAGTTAACAAACTATATTTTACATCTGTAAACCATAGTTAACGCGATAATCTATGTTTCACAACCGTAAACTACACTTATCACCGAAAACAATCATTTGCGATCAAAACATAGAATCTGATAAATACAGTTTCACGATTTGTAAACTATAGTTTACAAACCGTTAACTATAGTTAACAATCTGATAAATATAGTTTCACGATTTGTAAAACTATGATTATCAACTCTTAACTATAATTTACGATTGTAAACTATAGTTTACAAACGTGAATCTGTGTTTATCAACAAAATCTATTGTTAACGCTTATTACAGACAGATAAAATTAGATTATCATTCGTAAACTATAGTTAACAACCGTTAAATATAGTTTTACAGATGAAAACTAAAAAATCGTTAACTATACTATACTTAACGAATCGTTAACTATAGTTTACGGTTTGTAAACTATAGTTTACAGTCGATAAACCTAGTTTATCAATTGTGAAACTAGGTTTATCTCATTTTTGTGAATTTGGCGTGCCATATTAATCGCATTTCACATTTTCATAGGAATTGTGGCGTAAAGTACTTGTGACGTTAAACAATTGTGACGTTAAGCAATTATAACGTCACTCTGTAACGTGTAAACGTGTATCTTGAAAAAAAAGTGTCACGATGCATTTATTTTGGATAAATGTGTCAATATAATTACATGTATATCAATATACATCTTTTTTAATTATTTTGTTTTCATAATTTATTTTTGTTTTAAATTTAAAAAAAAAATAATTTCAGCAGTTTTCTTTCCCAAAAATACTTATTTAAAGTTTTTGATAGTATTTTCTGAAACCAAAATCAAAACAGCTTAGTTTCAACTTTTTCCTTTATATCTAAAAATATTCACAAGTTTCTTCAGCTTTAACTATTTATACTTTTGTTGTTTTCATAAGGAATTTATATATTTTGAAAAACTTTATCAGCCTGTTTATACTACCTGAAAGTATTTTTCTAAATAGAAGTATACTGTGAGCAGTTGGTAAATGATTAAAGTGGCAAAATCCATGTTTTGCTCGATCTAGGAGACCCGAAATAAGCGTCAGAATAAAAAGTAAAGTGGGAGATCAAAATGCACAGGATTTGTTTCGTACACAGGGCACCCCATAGTTATTTTTACCACAAGGTATCTAACTAATTTTCAGGCATCCCCACTCCAAGCTCGTATTTTGTTATTATATCAATCATTAAACTACTTTAAAATGACACCGTTGGCCTCAAAAGACTTTTTTCTTGTCAATTAAATCGTTCTATTCCGGAAATAAAATCGCCACCGTTTTCTTTTATACCTTTATATGCTACATTTAATTTCCTGTTTGATTTTGTGGACAAAGCACATCAATCACCGGGAATTTGAGAGAGAATAACTTTTAAATTCAAAGTCCATGGAATCTCATGGTAAATATATGTGTTTTAATGTAAATGTTTATTGACTTATCAATGCAATTAATATATTCTAACATCCTTGCTTATTCTCTGTTCGTATAAGTAACATATGGTTTTATTGTTTATAGAAGTTTGAATGTTTAACATAATAAAGGACAAATAGTATATCATTTTCAAAAAATCTGATAAAATTGTAGTATGTGTGTAATTGTATTCTACTTCGTCATCAAGCTGATGAAGCGATGTATGCATTTGAAATATCAAATGACCTAGCTTGGTTAATTATCTTTTTGAGAAGCTTAAGACGTAGGCCTACATCCACTTCTATTCACCAAACATTGCAAATGATGTAATGTTGGAACCAGAGATAATCTATCCTTACTCTTACGTTTCAACTCAAATTTATACAGGGAAACATTTACCATTGTGTATTATTTAATTAAAATGCCCAAATATCAGTATTTTGGAACTAGGAGATGCATGTTTGTTTTTGTTTTTTTTTTTTATTTAAACAATCAAACAAAACTTGCTAAATGTAGAATTGTCATTTTTCACAAATGTTTTTACTCAATACTCATACAAGAGCACTTGATACAGTTTGTGGAAATATTACATCAAAAGTCTTTCATTTCTAGCCAATTTTGGTGCATCCTTGATCTTTTCACAAGAGTATTAAAAGAAAGATAACTCTACATGGTTTTTTGTGGTTGTTTGTTGTTAAACATCCCTGTATATATACTTTTAGTCATATGGAGACATAACAATTCTAAATGTAGTTATATGACTTAGAGCTTAGGGAATATGGTTGACTTTTATTGAATTAAGCTTATCAATTCTAACTGTTTTGGGTGGAATTAGAAGATATAGAGCCATGTGAAAAAAAAAATATCATAGTACAGTGCATTTAGTATAAAATCAACGAGTTTGGAATATCTATGCAACAGGTATCCAGATTTAATCTCTTGAGTTTCTGCTCTTTTAGATGCACAATGAGTCAGATCTTGGATTTATAAAGACTTAAATTATACATTGTAAACTGTATAAGCTTTTAATTTAGACTTTTAATTTAGACTGATAATAAGTTCATTTTTAGCTCTACTGGTCAGAGACCAGAAGAGCTTATGCGATAGTAATGCGTCCGGCGTCCGTCCGTCTGTCTGTCTGTCCGTCTGTAAACAATTTTTCAAAACGCTACTCCTCCTACAGTTTTGGTCTTTTCAATATAACTTGGCACACAAGTAGACTACACTAAGATACATAGAATAGTGCATCGGTTTTTAATTTCGATGAACGGTGTTGCCATGGTTACTAAAAATAGAATTTTCTATGAAATTCCTTTAAAATGCTACTCCTTCTACAGTTTTGGTCTGATTTCAGTATAACTTGGCACACAAGTAGACTACACTAAGATACATAGAATAGTGCATCGGTTTATAATTTCGATGAACGGTGTTGCCATTGTTACTAAAAATAGATTTTTTCTGTGAAATTCCTTTAAAACGCTACTCCTTCTACAGTTTTGGTCTGATTTCAATATAACTTGGCACACAAGTAGACTACACTAAGATGCATAGAATAGTGCATCGGTTTTTAATTTCGATGAACGGTGTTGCCATGGTTACTTAAAATAGAATTTTCTATGAAATTCCTTTAAAATGCTACTTTCTACAGTTTTGGTCTGATTTCAGTATAACTTGGCACACAAGTAGACTACACTAAGATACATAGAATAGTGCATCGGTTTTTAATTTCGATGAACGGTGTTGCCATGGTTACTAAAAATAGAATTTTCTGTGAAATTCCTTTGAAACGCTGCTCCTTCTACAGTTTTGGTCTGATTTCAATATAACTTGGCACACAAGTAGACTACACTAAGATACATAGAATAGTGCATCAGTTTATGATTTCGATGAATGGTGTAACCATGGTTACTAAAAATAGAATTATCTGTGAAATTCCTATAAAACGCTATTCCTTCTACAGTTTTAGTTTGATTTCAAAATAAGTTGGCACACAAGTAGACTACACAAAGATACATAAAATAGTGGAATTGATTTTTGATAAGTACAAACCAGTAGAGCTACAGTCTCGACAGAGACTTCTGGTTATATATTTACTTACTTTTCTTTTGTATTTCTTTTGCTTAAAGAGTTCATAACCTTAAATATTTCCTAATCCTATCATCTATTTTTTGTGCAAATGCTAAATATTTATAATCTTGAAAAAGGTAGCAGATCATATTTGATTGAATAGATTTTTTAATCTTTCTTTTCTTATTTTAGGAAATTTAAATAGCTTCCCAGCTTGCGCAGATTAGCTGAAGATAGAATTTTCTGATGTGTATGTCATCATCCGAGCTTTCTAATTCATTAAAATCATGGAAAACACTGAAGAGCCAGAAGAATTTTCAAAAGAGATCTGTTTGGACCCATCAGTAAATGATATATTCCAAAGTGATAGAAACAATTTAGGCAAAGTTAGCTCCAAAAGAAAAGAGCATTTTATACAGATAAATTTTGGAGAATCTTCTGCATTTGAGATCAGAGAGACAGGATTTTCAATTTCTTGTAAAGAAGAAGATGTCCTTAATCAGCACAAAAATAATATTGATGTAGAAGAACATGTTTCAGAAATTAATGAAGCCAAATGTGTAGATGATATACAAGGTCAAAATGAGAAGGAGAGGTCATCAAGTCAAATTTGGGAGGAGAGATCAACAAGTCAAAATGAAGAGGAGAGATCAACAAGTCAAAATGGGGAGGAGAGATCACCAAGTCAAAATGAGGAGAGGTCACCAAGTCAAAATGAGGAGAGGGCACCAGGTGAAAATGAGGAGGAGAGGTCACCCAGTCAAAAAGAAGAAAGTTCACCTTGTCAACATGAGGAGGAGAGGTCACCAGGTCAACATGAGGAGGAGAGGTCACCAAGTCAAAATGAGGAGGAGAGGTCACCAAGTCAAAATGAGGAGGAGAGGTCACCAAGTCAAAATCTTGTGAAGGAGACAGAGAAAGAACTTGAAGGACAAGAGACAGAAGACAGTGCTGTTACACAGGATCAAAGTTCTGTTAACAATGCTAAGGGTGGCTCAGAAACAAGTACCAAAAAGAGAACCATTAACATGATAGTAAGTGACATTCTGAAAAATAAAGAAACAAGTGACAAAGAAAAGGCAGAGGATGATTTCAAAGGAGGGTCTAGAAGGGTGGATAAGAGGAAAGAGAGTCAGCCAAAAAAGAGGAGGAAGGCCAGGAATCCTGTAAACATTACGTATAGTGAAGATAGTCTGGGTATGGAAGAGGATTCAGTCGAGGAAGAAGAGGAGACTTATAAATGTGAGGTGTGTTTTGTGAGGTTCAACAGACAGGCTGATCTAACAGAGCATTACATGATGCACAAAGACGAGGGAGATTACAGTTATGTGTATAATGGAAAGACATTTGAGACCACCCCATTTCAGCAGAATTTTATAGAATCTTACATCTATAGCACTTTGAAGGATAAATCTACTGGGCAAGAAGGTGGGTCACTGACAAATGATCAAAACATTCCAGAGAGTCAAAAGATTGGTGCATATTCTACTCAGTCCACAGTGGGTGAAGGCTCTGAAATGATAAAGACAGAAATTGAGAACCCCCTTCAGTGTGATTATTGTGATAAGGCCTTCAGCAGTACTCTACTTCTGAAGAGGCATATCAGTGTTCACACAGGAGAAAGACCGTATAAATGTGATGTCTGTGAAAAGACCTTCAACCTACCTCACCATTTGAAGACTCACGCCAGAATCCACACCAATGTCAGGCCTTATAAATGTGAGGTCTGTGGGAGAGCATTTAATGAGAGCTCCAGCCTCAAGAGACATAGTCGGATTCATGCCAAAGAGAGGCCCTACATATACATCTGCGATGTGTGTGGGAAAACATTTAATGAACCACACAACCTGAGAACCCATGTCAGGATTCATTCGGATGTAAAACCTTACACTTGTGGAGTGTGCAAGAAAGCGTTTATCCGGCAGCAGACCCTGAAGAACCACATGCGGATTCACACTGACGAAAGACCATACAAATGTGAGGTCTGTGAAAAAGCTTTTAAAGAATTACACCATTTAAAGATTCATGTTCGCATCCATACTGACATACGGCCATACAAATGTGACATTTGTGAAAAAACGTTCAATGAGAGGTCGAGTTTGAAGAGGCATGTTCGGATTCATACGGGAGAAAAACCTTACAAGTGTACGCTGTGTGAGAAGGCATTTAACCACAACGAGAGTTTGAAGATCCATCTTCGTCACCATACGGGCGAAAGGCCATTCAAGTGTGAAATCTGCGACAAGACATTCACGGATCCCAAAAACTACAAAAGTCACCAGAAAATTCACAAGCATGACAATCGTTTCAAATTCAAATGTGATTCCTGTGACAAATCTTTTACAGAGGAATCCAGATTGTGGCAACATATGAGAATCCACACAGGTAATCTGCCATTTAAATGTATGATCTGCAGTAAAGCTTTCAACCAAAAATCTAGCTTGAAACGGCATTTGAAGGCAATCCATCCAGGAATTCCGATGGATATGAATGATAAGGATTTGCTTTCATCCAATACGGATGAATCGGATGAGACGATGGATAGCCCAGCTGATGAAGATTTTGATGAAGGTGATGAATCAGCTGATGATTTTACTGGTATCTCAGGTGTTGTTAATGAACCACCTGAAACTTCCAGTTCATTTCATATAATGAAGGCATGAAAATGATGTGTTCATATTGTAGTCGTAAAAAATTGTAAATCTCTGCTTTTGAATTCTAACCATCATCGTTGTGATATTTACAAGACTTTAAATTACTGTACATTTCATATTGGTGAAAATGCATTTAATTAATGCTATGGACTTTTTATAGTTATGATAATAATGAAATCTCTCTTCATTATGAAATATAGGGTAAATTTGATTTTATTCAAGAAATTTTCTTGATAGATGTATATTCTGGTATTCTAATTAAATTATAACAAAAATATAAAAGAAGATTGAAGTACCAGTATATATTTCTTTCCAAACGTTAAGATTAGATTTTATAATTTTTTCAATGTCAGTTTACCACTAGTTAGAATAATCTAACTGTGTCTTGGTACAAGCCCTCACCACAGTTAGAATACGTCCCATATACTTGCAATGTAGCAAATCGGAGCGGATCCGCTCCGAAACGATTTTGAAGAATATAAAATGATTTGCACTGGGAATAACTACCAAAATAATTAAAACAAACCTTTTTGAGATTGCTTATGCCTTTTATCCCAAAAAATAATCCATATAAATATGAAAATCTAATTCATTTTCTCAACGTTTTTCTCTCGATTCAAATTACCTCCATGTTTACATTCGGAACTCTCTAGATTGTTCCTAGTAAATGCACTATGCGAGTTATCGCCCGTGTTTCTTTTGCTACATTACGAATACACGGAACGCATTCTATCGTTAAACCGGGTCCGTAGGACAATATCATTTTAACGATAGAACATTCTATCTAGTTTACCACTAGCACAACCAATATTTTTGACATTATGCTTTTCATTAATTTCGGAAACTCTTTATTGATATTAGTAGGTAATTTGGGTAGAAGTTTACATTTTTATGTTAGCTGCCACTAGTAAAAACTTTTGTTAGAATTAAAAAAACAATTTGTCATGAACATTTCTGATGAACTGAAAATTAATCAAAATGTCAGTTTCTCTTGCCAATTTTGCTATGTATATAATTTATTCTTTGTCTGCCTTTCACGTTGTAAAGAAAAAATGTATTTATACTTCATTGTTCATGAAAAATTAACTGTTGATTCTTTATATCAATTTTCTTAATGTTCTTGGATAGGAAGGTTGCTTATAAAAAAAACCTATAAATTACTAGTACACAGCAACCAAGGAGAAAAAAAAAACATTTCTGGTGTTCTTAGGAGAATGGTTTCACCAGAATAACCCATGTAATGGTAAAGTTGTAGATATTTGTTGTTGAATTTTTAGCTGATAATTCAAAACGTTTAGACATGCAGAAATACTAAGTCTGCTTTGATCTTAACCAGTAGAGCATCAAAGACAGGGTGGAGTATATATTTTTTTTTAATTATATGTATAATTATTCATGTTTTAAAAACATAGATGTATAGATTGGACATTCCATATGAATGAAGTATTTTATGGACCTGTGAAATGATTCAGTTTAAACTGTATGTAAAAAGGAAAAGCAACATTTTATTCAGACTCTTCCAAGTATGGAAATTAAATCATGCATTTAACTACATGTATTGCTGTATATATAGCTTGTACAAAAGTTTAGATTGTTGACATGGTGCAGTCCTGTATTAGTTTTGTGTATGCCATAGGCATGATGTCTTGAGAATTATTTTATTTTTTGTAAAATTCCTAATTGAATATTATGATAGTAACTTTGTTGTTTATTAAATATATTCAAAACATAGTCAGAGTAATAGATTTTTTTTTTTTTACAAGAAATGGAGAAGGTGGGGGGTTCTACTGTTGCAGCAGGTCAGTAACCCTCATACTCCCCCTTTTTGGTTTTGTTTGTTTTTCCAGAACAATTTTTTCTTTGAAATAGATTGAGGTCCAAGCTGGAAAGATTAGTATGGAAACTTGTAAAGCCCTTTAAAAAAATAATATGAGCGAATGCCCCACTCTTGTGAATATACGCACTATAGTTCGATTACAGAAATACTGGTATACGGACAGACGCAAGGATAAACAGGAATTTGATGTTGAAAATGAATCCCACCATATGGATTGCATTAACAAAGAGTGTGCTAAAATTTCAAGCATCTGCGATTCGTAGACTAGTTGATGAGAAAACCGACGGACATTTGATACGGAAAGATGCACGGATAAAGAGGAAGTTGACATCGGATTTGTTATATATATGAATATACTTAAATATTTGCATTAACTTCCAATGTCCGTTGATTTGTACAAAAATGAATCCTACCATATGGCATGCCTTAACAAAAGGTTTGCTAAAAATTCAAGCATCTGCGATGAGGTGGCTAAGAAAACTGAAACGAAAATTTGATCAGACAGACGCACGGATAAACAGGATGTTGACATGAGATGTCCCACAATATTACATGCATGTCATAACAAAGAGTGTGCTAAAACTCCTATCATCTGGTAAGTGTAGCTGCTGAGAAAACTGACAAAATTTGTTACGGACAGCTGGATGGACGAACGGATAGACAGATAGACAAACACACAAGAATTTATAAAAACAGTTTATCCCCCTCTTTTTTGGTTCGGGGGTATAAAAATGAATCTACACTGTACTACAGAAATAAAGAGAAAAATAGAAAGTCTGAACAACAATAGAGTGTGAAGTTCAATAAAATACTTATTCAGAAATCCCAAGAAGGTTGTAAACTTAATACTATACTAGTATGCAGTATAAGAGCCCATCATAGGAGCCCTAGCTTAAAGCTGTGCAGACAAAAAAAAATCTATTGAATGGATGATACGGCTATTAGCAGAACAGGTCTCTCACATCACAGTAGTGAAACCGAATACTGCTTCAGCAGAAAACCAGGAAGATTATCTTGATCAATTGTCACCAAGACTCAGATCATAGGGAAAAATAATAAATAACAGAATACGTAATAGCGCCAGCTGCAAATATGCAAAGTCAAGATACAAGATATGCATTGATACTATAGTAGTTAAAAAACAACAAAAATCAATATACTGTGGACAGTAACTATATATAACTGTCATAATATACAGAGAATCAAATTTAAAAATTGGTTTCTGTTACCGTGAAGTCTGTTAATTTACATCTATGGCACGCCAAATTCACTAAAATGAGCTAAACCTAGTTTCACAATTGATAAACTAGGTTTATCGACTGTAAACTATAGTTTACATACCGTAAACTATAGTTAACGATTCGTTAAGTATAGTTTTCATCGGTAAAAATATATATGGCAGGCCAATTTCACAAAAATGAGATAATCATAGTTTCACAATTGATAAACTAGGTTTATCGACTGTAAACTATAGTTTACAAACCGTAAACTATAGTTAACGATTCGTTAAGTATAGTTTTCATCTGTAAAACTATATTTAACGGTTGTTAACCATAGTTTACGAATGTTAATTTAAGTTTATCTGTCTGTAATAAAGCATTAACAATAGATTTTGTTGATAAACATAGATTCACGTTTGGAAACTATAGTTTACAATCGTTAATTATAGTTAAGAGTTGTTAATCATAGTTTCACAAATTGTGAAACTATATTTATCGGATCGTTAACTATAGTTAACGGTTTGTAAACTATAGTTTACAGATCGTGAAACTGTATTTATCAGATAATCTATGTTTTGCAATCGCAAATGATTGTTTTCGGTGTTAAGTATAGTTTACGGTTGTGAAACATAGATTATCGCGTTAACTATGGTTTACAGATGTGAAATACAGATTAACGTTGTTAACTATAGTTTACGGTTTGTAAACTATAGTTTACAACCGATAAACCTAGTTTATCGATTGTGAAACTATGATTATCTCATTTTTGTGAATTTGGCGTGCCATAAATATATTTAACGGTTGTTAACCATGTTAACTATAGTTTACGAAAGATAATCTAAGTTTATCTGTCTGTAATAAGCGTTAACAATAGATTTTGTTGATAAACATAGATTCACGTTTGTAAACTATAGTTTACAATCGTAAACTATAGTTAAGAGTTGTTAATCATAGTTTCACAAATCGCGAAACCATATTTATCAGATCGTTAACTATAGTTAACGGTTTGTAAACTATAGTTTACAAATCGTGAAACTATATTTATCAGATAATCTATGTTTTGCAATCGCAAATGATTGTTTTCGGTGTTAAGTATAGTTTACGCTTCTGAAACATAGATTATCGCGTTAACTATGGTTTACAGCTGTAAAATATAGATTAACGTTGTTAACTATAGTTTACAGTCCGTAAACTATAGTTTACAACCGATAAACCTAGTTTATCGACTGTGAAACTGTGTTTAGCTCATTTTTGTGAATTTGGCGTGCCATATACATCTACCTTCTTGTTTGAATAACATTTTTCAATTCGATATTTTTTTTTGTTCAAGAGATGGATAAAAAGATTTGTTTCAGAATAGGGTACATATCTAAATTTCACTGAAGTGGTCTTGTTTAGTTGAAAAGAAGAAATTAAAAAATGTTTGTCCTCAAAAGTATGTGAATCTTAACCTCTTGCTTGATCTAATGCTGAAAAATTATTTTTAAAAAATAGGCCTAAAACTGAAAAATTATGAGATACAAATGGAAATACAAATAATTATACAATACAAATGGAAAAAATCGAATATTGCAATGTTTGACATGCCATACGGGTGTATCTTTATTTACTTGCCATTTTTGAGAACATATTTTTTTTCCTCAAAATCTGCAACATCCTCTTTCAGAATCAAATTGACTGTCGAGAAGCGTGCTAAGAGCATGTTTAAATACCTTGATATCGCTAATTTCTTTATCAATATATGATTTGAACGTAATGATTAATATGAGTTGTAGCTAAAACTGCATATTATGTATCTAAATAGCTCTTTTGTACGGTGTAACTTGCGCGACAAATAATTATTCGTCATTCCGGATTTTAAAAATCTATTTCTGACTGTTTTTACTTGGCTCTTTGTGACTACTTTTACACTTACCCCATTTAGAGTTGCTAATGGTGACGTCAATAATCCTCGCGAGCTAAATCCCGAATTTTCTTACATTTATTTACCTGTTTCAGTGTTTGCCAAATGGATTAGTATCCTAAGTCATCTTATACGTTGTCTTTTTATCAGTAACCAATGTTGGTAAGTATGAATACAAGATATTTCTTATTGTAAAATGCATATAAAGATTATAAAAAAATTTAACTCCGTGCTAACGGACGAAGGGAAAGAAAATATGCACAATGGGGAACCTAAATGTAAAAC